TGAGAAAGGGCAGGATTCCCCAGGAGGCTCAAGTTATTATTCCTGCCAACCTCTTAGCACCTCACAACTCATCCTCCATTCCATGTCACATGAGCAGTGAACACCACATTTACATGCCCAGCTGTCTGTGGAGGGACAGACACCCTGTGATGGGGTGTGCTCTCAAAAACTGCGGGGTTGTGTCTGAAATGGCTCGAAATCCAGCACAAGGGACTAGGGAAGGCTGAGCACAAAAAAAGAGTTTTCCAGCATAGTACAGACAGACAGGAAGACACCTGTCCCTCAGCAGAGCTGAGATTCTCCACGGGCTGCCCCAATAGCAATCCACACAAGTGATTGTGGTCAACTTTTTCTGTACTTTTACCTACAGGGGGTGGTATTTCTGAAAAACATGGTGAAAAAAGGATATTTTAGAAATGACAACTCTGCAGCAAATCATGTTCTTGTTCAGTATTAGAATGTCAAACTACACCCCTGAGAGCTGCTTTGGAAAGGAAAGCTTAAATATCGTCCTCCACCAAGAGTATGCTGGGACAACAATGTTTCATAAAACACTAAAATATTCAAAACATCCTTGTATTTGTTACATCAAAATCATGCCTTTTTTTTTTTTTTTAAACACTAGCACCAGTGGCAGTATCAATTCTGTTCCTTGAACACTGTTACTGCTAACAACACAGGGACAGGGACAAAACAACACTCTAGTTGCTTGCTAACAACAAAACCAGAGACAACAGCTGAAGACAAGCAGGCTTATTTTACTAAATAATGTAACTAGTTATTTTTGATGTATTAGTCTGATTTACTGTTTCCAAATAAATTTTTCATCTTAAGTGCAAAAAGTTGATTTCTATGGTCTAGTTGATGTTTTTTCATGCATGCAAATTTTGTAGAGAACATTTTGTCTTTAGCTTCCTGTTATGTACATTTTTAAGAGCTTAATGTTTGCTGCCTCCACTTAATATGAAAGAATGTTGCACATTTTGGTGAATGTCAACGAGAGAGTTACAAAAATTTCGTCAAAATGACTGGTACTGTAAGTAGGTATCAGCAGAAAGCCACCCTATAGAGTGAAAGTTTAATTAATATAATGCAACCAATGAAATGGAAACTCCCCGAAATACAATGTGAAGGGTAGGAAACTCAATTGCCAGAAAATATTGAATTAAGGAAGGTTTCTTTATTTAAAAGATAAATAGAATAGAATAGAATAGAATAGAATAGAATAGAATAGAGTAAAATAAAATAAAATAAAATAAAATAAAATAAAATCAGTCTTGCAGAGGCTTTCTAATATATTTACAGTTTATTTGGGTCAGTTAATAGGAGTTTTGTCTCATCAGGCAGGAGATGAAGCAGCATCAGCCTCTCTCCCTAAGCACCTTCAGTATTTTACTAACGAAGTTACAGTACATCAGAATATTTTAATCTGACACAAAGAACAACAATAGATCTGACTGCTGGCCTGATAATCTTCTTATCACACCCTGTGAAACCTAGCTCTAATATTTGACTGAGCCTCCATTACTCGGCAACACATTCTAAAAAGGCCAACAATGGAGAGAGAATGAAGTGGAGTGTGGAAGTACCTCCATATCTACATAAAAGAGATTAGAGGCGACAGCGTTCCATTTTACAGCTCAATCATATTGTGTTAGCATGCGCTTATCCGAGCGCGGATGAAATTGAAAGAGAAATAAAAAAGAGTCAGGCAGATAGGAACCATAAAAGCGAGGCATGAGCAATTTCCAAGGATATAAAAGGATGCTAATGGCGGGGCCCTGTCATTCTTAAAAAGGGCTATTAGGGCACCATCATCTGTTCTTGTGCCCTTACGCCTCTCTAACTAAAGTCAAGCATTTCCTAATGCCATTGTGATCTTTCTCTTCTTCAGATAAGACATGGTCATGTTTCATAACAACACACTTTCCATTTATTTGATTTATAAATGCAAGGAGACTAATTCTATTTACTGATAAAGGCTTTCCATATATATTTTTCTTTCAATATTTCCTTTTGTAGATTGTATAGACTTTTTGTTCAATAAAAGCAACTATTGAAATATTTCCAATACCACAAAAATACTAATGATTTTATGAAAGGACTTGAACTTTGTATAATTTGAAAACATTTTTTTAGCCTATGACTGAAATGGGAAACGTTGGCCAGGGCAGAATGAATATAGCATTGTTACCTTTTTGTACATAATCCTATTAAAAGACTTTTTTTCAGAAGAGCAAAAACATTGCTTCGGTTTCCTCCACAAAGACAAATTTTACAATGCAATGCTTTAGAGTTGAGATCTTTATTAGTTATTAGGCACCTGATATATAAGGGCCTTTAATTACACTGAACCTTAAGAAATCACTATAGTAAAGAAAGATTTGCTGATTGCTGCTTTGCTGTGCTAGGCACAAATTCACTACTGGTATAATTAATCGACTCTACAAGATTTACACCAAGGGTTTACTTAGTCTGCCAAGCTACAGTGAACTTCTATGCAATTTGCACCCCTTTCCTAATTTATCCTTTTCCCCATCCTATTACGCTTCTGCCTACAGTAACATTTGTTAGCTTTGCAAACAGGCAAGCACCAATCCAGGCTCTTCCAGAAGTTGTTTTGTGCCAGACATCAGCTGAGAGTAGGCACTCCAAGCTCAGCCATACTCCAACATTCAAAACCAAGCTACGAAAGCTCAACGTATTTGCCCTTTAGCACGTCCAGCCCCTTTACGTTTTGATTTTTGTAATCAAATGGCAGACAACAAGTACAGATTTTATCACTATCTTCTGTTACCTGAAGGCTTATAAAAAGATGGTCTTTATTTCCTGGGGTTTTTTAAAAAATCTTATTTGTAAATGAAATCAGGTAAGTACACTTACCTAGGGTGGTTCTACCATGGTAAGTGTGGTTTGAGCTTACTTTGTACTAAAATGCTGTCTTGTGGCAGGTCAGTTCCTTGAGGTTTTAAATTTTCTGGGCCAGTTTATGGCATCCAGTACCTCTTCCACTCTAACCAAAGCTACCATTTTAAAGGCTGCTCAGTCTTGTCCCTCTGCTCTTCCCATCCCTCCAGCCAAATCCAAGCTATACAGCATATTCACAAATCAGACTGACAAAAGTTCCCCGGCAACTGCTATGGAGCATGACTGACTGCTTTGAGAACTACTCTATTTTGGTTAAGGTGATGTAGGTATCTTCCAAAGATGAAACTCAAGCTCACCTACTTAACTCATTTTGACTTAATTTGGGGTGCTTTATTAGCAACCAGTGTAAGACAAAGTAGCTCCTATAATATAGAGTGATGTTTAAATTAGTTTACAATTTGCTTGGGCTCATCTAGAACTGCTCTGAACAAAGCCATTCAGAAATGTCAGCTGTGTTCCTAACCACTGTAACAAATTGTTGCCTGAACGCTGCACACCTAATGACTTCAAATTAGCTGCACTGCGATATTGCCTGACAGTTCGTTACGACTGTTAGCAACATAGCCGGCGTATCATGACCAATAAATTGGTTTCAGTGTGGGCTGGGAAAGGGACTTCCATCAATTTGATTAAAGAAATTACTGTAGCATTCAAAGCATAAAGACAAACTAGTTTAAGGAGACAGAAATAAGTTAACTGTACCAGAAAAACATTGCTTGTGATATAAGAGCTTGTTTATACACCGTTTGTGGCACAGAGAATGACTAAATTTCAAAGGACTATTTTAGAGTCTGTAGGCTGTTCTCTTCCCTCTGAAGTAAAAAAAAACAACAACAAAAAAACTTAATAAAGGTACAAATTATTATTATTCCTTGATTGCATTTAAATATATATTGTGTTTTTATTTATCCAAGATGACCCAGAAGAACTGGTTTGAACAAGGGAAAAAGAAACAAAGAGCGAGAATAGTTCTTTGCAATTTCTTTTGAAATTAGAAATAAAATACCTTTAACTCTGATAAACAAACAACTGACTGGATTATTTATTCTACTATTAAGGTATCCCAAAATCACATCTAAAATGAGAATGACGTGTTACTCTGAGGAATTAAAGGTTATCCACTCTCATGCTTAATAAGGCTCCACTATCAAAATTAGAAAACTAATGAGCTGATGAAAACACACCAACATGCTCACTCATCTACTGGACAAGAAAAGTACCTTAAGAAACAAGAGAAAAAGCTGACCTTTTTTTGTGTGACTTTACCGTTTGTGAAAGGTGACAGACTGAGAACTACAGAGACTTCTGTAAGTCTGTCTGCTAGCTCACAGAACAAGAACAAACACCTCAGCATTGGGGAGGGGCAAAAATACACCTGAAATGTTATCTGAAGGAATTGCTCATCTTCTGAGAAACTGCTTTTGATGACCCCCATTTTTCTTGCTAATAAGACTGCCAGTCAGCTTTTATAATATCAATGCATTTATGTGATGCAGACTGCAGTCCATTCCATGCAGACCATGGAAATATTAACTTGTGGAAGGAGATTTTTTGGGTCAATTCAGTTCTTTGTACCGATCTGCTGGTACAATTCAGTTCTCACACTAGATCAGCCAATGTAGATAACAATTCCTCTGTGTCTTGCCAAAATATAAGTGAAGTTTTCACCTCCTGTGGTCAGTAGTGCTGCATTTACTAACAGAGCAGCCAGACTTAAATTCACATACTGCTGAATCAGATGACTACAGAGGAGAGGACTTGCATGACCCTTTATGCCAGGCTAATGCTCTGGATAGCAAGGGAAGTTTATCTTAATAAAAGCAATACATGAAATAAAAATAATTCTCTAAGCAGCATGTGAAACTTATTAACATGGTAACACTCGCAGCAACAACACTACTACTTCCAAGGTAAGATACATCATTTAAACTATGGTCTGTGGGAATATTCTGGAGCCTTAGGAAAACTTTATGCATTGCAGGGAGAGAAAAAATGAGTAGTTTTTATTAGCACAGAATAACCCACGTGATGATTTCTGTATGTTATTTATTTGCAATAAATACTGTATGTACCTGGAATATGCTTAGCCCATCCAATGATCACCACCAGTTCTCTGTCTGCCAGGTCACAAAGAGTGGTAAGTGCTTTGATGTCACTGTCTGGAACAGTGGGGTCAGGCATAGCATAGATCTTCTCTGGTTCAGCCACCAGCAAATGGGAGACAATCTTGTTATCTGTAAAAATGGTCCAGAACATTACAAGATCACCAGTAGCATCATTCTACACTTCAAACAGATGGCTCAGATTTCAAAGTGCACAAAAATTTGTCTTAAGACACTGAACCTAATTACACCTTATTGTAACTTCATGACCTCCAAGAGTGGTTACAATACAAACAAATCTGACCCATTAACAGTGTTTATTAAGCCAGACATATATGTTCTTAAGATAATAAATTCAACAGAACATAGAAATACATGATCCTCTTTTATTATTGGAGTACAAACCTTATAGGAAAAAATTAATGCACTATAGTGCATTTTGCACTGTTCAAATAGAAAAGTTTTGCATTCATCTAATTACTTGCAACCCACCCTAACCCTTAAAGGCAAAGGTATTTTTGAGTGAGTAAATATCACATGCAATTAGTCAATCACTGAAATCTGTAACTTCTGTCAGTGACCCCAACTACCATTCTTTATGTACAAACCCAGACTAATGATCTTGTCATTTCTAAACAGGGAAAAGTACTAAAATAAAAAATAATAAAGACTGTAAAACTAAGTAAAGTATGAAAGTATGCAAACTCTACTTCAGAAAACTGATTTTGTGCAAAGAATGATACTTCATCATAGTCACACACTGCTTATTTTTATCTACATAGCATTTTCATTCATGTGCTAAATATTTACTTTTTCATCCAGTTGACTTGAGACAACTATTTGGAATAATCAATTAAGTTATATGGAAAAATGAAGAGAGGAAAAAAAGAGAAGAGCTCACAAGATTTACAACAAGTATTGCTGTTCTGGAAGTAGGATAAACATAGTATGAGCACTATATGCAGGTGAAGGCACAATGGAAATATTTTATCTCTATACAGGAGCCTGATTTATTACTCTGAGAAGGCAGAACTGAAAAGTAGGAAAAGGACAAATTCATTAAGCCTCTTAATACAGGGTATATTACTATACTTCACAATATATTTACATTTTACTTTTCCTGGTAGGTACATCTTTTGACCTCAAATGCACCACCAGAATTTAAAGCCCAAACGACACTCTTTAGTGATTTTACATGAATCTGTTCCCTTTGGTGAGATAAAACATTATAAAGCTCAATATAAATGGGATTCCATTGTGAGAAAACACCAAGTATTTTCTGAGTGCAGAGACTGCTGCCAGAACTGGTGTAATTTTCCCCATCTGCACATAGACCAAGTCACAGGACAGACGACATTGCTCTCCTGCAATGGAAGCTGACTGGGATGTGACTTGGGCAACAGTGTCAGAGAGGATCCCTACTAGTCCATATTTCCATAAAGTGCTCACTCGGTTCAGATTTCTGATACTTTATTGCTCTTTAATGACACAGGCTCCTTGATTCTGATCTACTGCCGCTACAATTTTTGCCTTATTCCAAATTTGTGTGTCAGAAGTTGTGATATGTTAGTCCTTCATATAATAAGTGCAAGAGCCAACTGGAAACCATCACATCAAGCATGTTTTATTACAAGGGGATATATTTATGCTTTATATGAACTATAGGAACTACACCAACTGATGCAATTTTTGATCTCAATAGTTGACTGATTATCAAACTGATTAATGAGGAATTATATTCTTATTTACAAATGACAGATGGTCGTTTTAACTTATATTGGCAAACAGCCTTCGCACGATTTTTTACATTTTTTAACAATCTCTTCATAACCTGTTCAATTTCGCACAAAAACATATAAGTGAGAAAAGATAACATTATTTCTTTCCAAAGTTCAGTGTTTTTAATTGATTAGGAAAATAACATAAATTCATTAAGAGTTTCTTAACATCCAAACATATGCAGCTGAGGACTTCTACTTTTGGGGTTTTTATATCATGATAAATGAATGAAGAAGCACTCTCATGCCCAAGTTCTGCGTTTTTTTCCCCTCTAGCAGAAGAAATGGCCAAAGAACCACTTTCATTCGTGTATGAGGCTCCTCACCAATAGCATTCCATAGATGATTTAGGAATATTGTCTCTTTTGATTCAGGATTTGCAAAATCCTGCAAATCTATTTTATTTTTACAAACAATAAAATCTATGGGCAGGCCATTAAATTCTATGGTGCAGCTGGAAAATATAACAGAGATCAGAAGTAGGTGTAGGAAAGATCCTCCAAATGCCTGTTCTTTCCTTACAGGGGGAAAAAGCTACATGTATTGGCACATGCATTAGCATAGAACATAGGAAAATTCTGAATGTACTTAGAAAACTCCATCACTCAGGAAATTGAATAGCCATGAGCACTGTTTCTAGGTAAATCTTATTTAATGTTTCCCTAATTAGAATCAATAGAACCCAATTTTCATTCCTGTGCCTTTGTTATGCACGAACTATCTGTCAGGGTCCAGAAAATCTCCCAGGCTACTTCCACACAAAACCGATTCAACTGTTTCAAGTCTGGACACTTATCTGCCCGGATTTGAAAATTAAGTTTTAAAAATGTTTATTACAAAATTGTTTGTACTTGGACGAGCTAAGGAAAACGAAGGGAGGCACTCAGATAATGAGTAATGATTTATGAGGAGGTTAGTTTATCTCAGACAACTGGAGCTTACAGAAATCGGTGTAGTTATCACCTTATAAGTAATGTAATGCACCACGTTGCAATAATCTTTGGTTTACACAGAGATTCTTGTATTTCAGTACAACTGCATTAACCTCTGAAGGTTCACATCTTAAGGGCTTGCGGCTTTTGGGCTGGATTTTTTTTTTTTTTGTCTGTTTGGTCTTGGCTTTTTTTGGTTTGTTAGTCTATCAACATTTCTACTCAATGACAATATCAAGTAAATGAAAAACTGACAATCTGTGCACCCAGGAAAACTAAACCTCTAATGAAATTAAGCATTAGAGTTTATTAAATTTTATTGTATTATCAGAAAGTTTTTATTATAATGTGCAAAATCTGCTTAGTGCAGCCCTAGATTGTATTTACAGAACAGTGGGACAGCTTATGGAGGCTGAGTAGAAGATGCCAGATTGGACAATTGAAGGAATATAATCAGCATAATGTTTTTTGGAAAGGCAAAAGGAAACTATGCCATATGTTCACTTAAGCCTTAATTTTATGTAAAACTGGCTGTTTTTTCTTTGACACAGCTAAAATGCCCTTTCACTTACAGTTCAAAGACTGTTTATTTGCTCTCCAGATCCCCATATGCTCAAACGTATTGTACACAGCACTGTCCCCTACTGGGGAACAGCATTGGAAACAGATTCCATTTTCCATCCAGCCAGGTATTTTCAAGGGGCTAAAACTGACATGTGTGTTGTCAGAGGCTTAGGGGCAGAGGCAAATGGGAGACAAGAAGGAATTTGTCCTCCTTATTTCACTGGCTTATTTATTCATGTTAGGAGCAAATTAACCTGATCAGCAGGAGCAACTGGACGTGTGTATTCTCATTTGAATTTGGAAGAGTTTACAACACTTGATACAGAGCCTGTGTGTCTTTGCAGGGTAATGCACCAGCCTCTTGCACTACAGCTATAATGCTATTAAATTTACTGCATGGAATTAGTACAGTTACTGCTTGAGTTTATATAAGCTGCAAAGCAAAACCCCTAACTATTTTTAGTTAATCGCAAAGAGGATGGAACTTGTATTTTAGCAGTGAGATGATCATCTCTTTCTCTCTTAATTTCAGCCTGGTGAGATACAATCAAGGACATTATTAAAACATAACAAAAACTAAGAAAAAAAATCCATGAGGGTACTAGAGCCCAAACTACCACTTTCTGCTTTGTTATTAGTATGGCATATTGCTGTTTTAATCTAATGCTAGGTAGTGTATTAATCTATAGGTATAAATTAATGAGGCTCTTAATGTATTTTCACTGGGAGGTTGAGCAGTCAAACTCATTTAGTTAGTGAAAACTACAAAAATCACTTTCTTGTGAAAGCTGAAAGTAGAAGCTTCAATGAGCTAATGATCACAGTATGAACCATTTTATGTACCACTGAAAATAAAGATAACCTGTAAATGTAAAATTTGCACTGCATAAACCATGCTTTTATACACTTCCACCTGTAAAAACACTCTTTGTTCAACTCCACTTAAGAAAGATGAGCATATCTAAAGCAGAACCTGTTAACAGGCAAATCGATATAGTTTTCATGGTAATATTTTCTGACCAAACCCTTGTTCAACTCAGGAGCAGCTAAGCAAACAGGGCTAGGAGTCAGTAGTCTGCACTGTGAGAGAAATGCTGTGTATGTGGTGTACTCACATGGCTTTTTTGCTGGCTGAACTAGCTGAGGGTTCAGGTATGGGCTGTTCTCTGCATCTATTCTGCGCTTGTACTTCTGGCGACCTCCACGTACTCGGTCTAGGCGCACACCTACGTTTGGAAACACAAGCAAACAGCTAATTAAATACATTATGAGCATGCCTTTCAGGTAACAATCTTCTATTTCCTGCCTTCCAATATTTATATTAAAAGCATGTTTATTTCAAAAGATTAATTTTAGACAGCACGGGAAATCAGCATTACAAGTATTTGCAAGCAGTTTGGAGTTCCACACATGCAAGACTAAGTATACAACATAATTTCCTGTTCATTTAAAACCATTCATTCATTTTTACATATTATTAAAAACAGCTAGCAAGTTTAGTTTCCATTTGAAAGAGCCTAATCTTAAGTCATCTTTGCCAGAAGCAGAATTTCAAAGCTGTAATAAACACCATGGATATAGAAGCATAACATTATGAGCAGAGAAGTACAGAGAATTAGAACTTTAGAAACAATGAATTCTGTACACAGTTTAGATAGTCAAAACCTAATTAAGATGGATTAACACAGCCAGAGGATACAAAGTAAGTATCCCCAGTAAAATAAGAATATATAAGTGGCTTATAGACTGAAATTGTTCATGAGGATTTGAAAGAAATTGTACAGTTGTGCATTTAGATGTCACCAATGGCAAATTAACATTTGTGTTCTACCTCCATACTGTTCATTCCTCCAATATAGCATTCTGCTGCCTGGTTTGTATGGATATATAGGATTTTACCTTCTTGAAACAAGCTATAGCTGCCCTCATTGACAAAATGAAACAAGGTGAAAGGGTGCAAAGATAGAAGGTCTTACAAAACAAGGAAATATTTTTATTTCTTTCTGAGTCACCCAGGCAGATTTCCAGACAACCCGGATGAATGTGACTAAAACCAAGCAGTAACATAACACGGAAGTTGAAGAACTTGGCACACATGCAGGACAACAGGACATGTAATACCAAGTGCAAAATTTGTCCCTGATGACACGGATTTAACAACACAAGAATGCAAGGACACATTAAGTCCCGTGAGCAATGTAATAAAGTACAACTCACTTTCTCACTTTTCATTGACTATTTTAGCTCTCCTCCCTCTATGTATATTTTCTACTGCTATTATTATGCCTTACTCTTCTATTTCCCATTCCTCTGACCTCTCCCTTACACACAAAATACCTCAAGAACTGGCTTTGGACAGCAGGGGAAGCCACCACCAAAGAAGTTACAGTTCATGTGCACAGCAGGAAGAACACAGCACAGAGTTTATGTACTGCCTCTGAACCTGCACCAGGAAACATCTGTCAGTCCTCTTTCCTTCTCAGAAACCAAAAAAGGATTGACTGGGTTTTGGTGAAGGAAAACTGTTTTGCCAACTAGCCAGAAATCCAAGGCCAACTATTGTTGGGGTGGTTTTGCTTCTTTTTTGCTTTTATTTCCCGGGGTACTAACACAGAAAGGAGATGCTTGCTTTAATGACACAATCAACATCTCTAACTATAATTCAGTGAGTTGTATACAACAGTGCTCAATAGCTTCTGCTGATCAGGAAAGTAGGTAATGATCACCTCTACTTAACAGTGAAATTTCACCTGGTTTCCTGCACAAGACTGTGTATGTCAGTCCATCAAATCCAAAATGTACATTTCTCATTGCATGTCTCCAGTTGCATTTATGAGGATCACATGATTTAATAGTAACACAAATGAACAACATACCCCAAGATGTCAGCATATAATTATGAGTGAAATCTTATTTATGGTAGTTACTGATGTAACTTGTGATGGATTTGTGGTCTAAGCTGTTTGATAAAATTTTTGCTGATTTAACCAACAGAGCATGGCTATTTTTGGTTTTATTTTTTTAAAGTTATACTTAGAAATGCATGAACTACAAGACCACTTAAAAAACTGATAGCTCAGACCTTTCCAGAACTAATGATAACTCACTGTTCTTCACACTTGAACCAGGAGTTTCAGCTATGTCTGAAGCAAATGACATCCAGGACAATACATTGCCATAAAAACAAACAGCAAAAGATCAAAGTTTGATAGTTGAATATTCAGAAATAGGCAGAGGATTAGAACAAGCAATATTGGTGGGATTATGAAAAAGACTGCCCAGCATTTGAAGAAAAATAGATAGAAAATGATTGCTGCATAATTCAGATGCCATCCTTCTTTCTGCTTGGGAACAAATTTCATAGTGATAAAAGATGGATAGCATCAGACAGAAGTATGTTTAATCAAAAAGTAATGGAACTGAAGCTTAAATTAAAATAATATAAATCTACCAAGATGAACAATTTTTTTTACCTCCTTTGCATTAGATGAGATACATTTGAGATGAAATTCAAGCCATTCACATACTCAATGGAAGGAAATACAGAAAAATGTCACAATAGCAAAATTTCACTTAGATCCATGTCCTCACCTAATACACATCGTTGTATCTGTACATAAAACTTTCTTTTAAAAAATCCCAACTCCTAGATAACTGGAGAGCAATTGTATTGCACAGTTTAAAACTACCTAAGTCTATAATAGAACTAATTCAAATTTTAATGTGAAAATAGTTTTGATAACATAGCACCAATAGACTATAAAGTAGAGCTTTATAACCCTTCCATGAAAACTGATGGAGTTTACCATCATTTTGGCTCCTAATATTTCCTTTATCTTTAAGATATCATAGATCTATATTTTTCTGTATCTATAAGAAAGTAGATACTTTGGATTTAATTTCTGATAATCTAACACACCCTAAGTGGTATTTTACTTCCCAAGGGTCTTCATAGAAGTAAACACAGTGCAAAACACTGCTTAACAAGCTATGCCCATCTGATATTTCATAAGAACTTTGGAGTTTGGCAGGTAGCAAACTAAAATTCAGAGGTTCTGGAGTATATGCATGCATATTCCTCTCTAACTCCTATAGCTTGTATGAGAGAATTCATTACATAAAGGTTTATTATCAAGAGAGTAGCTCTCAAGACATTAGCAACTGATGCCTCCTTTGTAAGAGTAACAAAAGGGAAGAAATAAAAATAATTTTGTCCACAAAACTCCTCATTTGGGGCAGGAGGAGCTTAATATTAGTCACAGATGTAACTGTTTGAATTCCACACAGTCTGTATTCAGATTATTAAGGAGGATATTGTGACATTTGGAGAAATCAAGTAGACCTCTGCTTCAGCTTTGCTGTGCATTGTGGTTTTACAAAATCTTCAGCATCTCAGTTCACTCATCAAATAGGTCCTCAACCATAAAGTGAAAAGAAAGATACCCACTCCACCCATAAAAAATCATGTAATATCTCCCAATGAACTGCACTGTACGTATTGTAATTACAGTTCTTCAGGGTCAAAACACTCATTCATGTCACTGAACACAGCTCCACCGCAGAAAAGGAAGTTAATTCTTCACATTTCCTAATGCTCATTTGAAAAGCCTTCAACAGAGAAACAACACCAGGAGCCCTAATGGGAAAAACAGGGATGACCACAGGTTGGAAATAGGAAGAACAGGTCTGCCACCAGTTAAGAGAGCAGTTTGAATGTTAAAGTGCAACATATTCACTTTACATCTCAGGACAAGCACAACCCACGAACTCATCTCTTCAGGAGTGATGGGCAGTCAGAGATTTAGACATGACTTACAAATCTCAGAAGATGAGGGTTAGGCTGTAGAGCTGTAATACAGGGAGAGATGGAAACGAAATCAATGCAATAGCTACTTTTTAAAACAAAGCAATTGCACGTACTGATACAATGCAAGAAATTCTCCAGCTACTCTTGAGGGAATAAATGCTTTTAGGCAGTCACTATATAAGCCTCTACAAAAAAAATTTACCTCCTGGTTCCTTGTATAATCTTTGCATGATTTCTATCAAATGCTACACAACAGACAACAAAACCACATTGGGCACTTACTCTACACTAAATGTGTCCACACAGCCTTGCACAGAGACAACTGAAGGCCAGAGCCTCACGAGCTGCCCACCAGGTTATTAAATTTAAACAACACAGGCAAACCTGAACTCATTTGCTCTGTATTTCCTAATCTGTTTCTCCCTTGCCAATAAATGTAAATTATTATTCCTATTCTGTGGTCCTTTTCTAACATTGCCTTGAAGACCTCAAGCAGGACAGATATCTGCTGTGATGATGCTACATAACCAAAAGGATTGCACATACACCAATATATTATTGGTTTTGCAATTCAGGTCCTCACTATGAAAATACTATTTAACCATGTCATCTCATTTTCCATACAGATCCAAGGCATATTAAAAGTGCATTATTTATTCCTTTTATCATCCACCACTATTTACTCCTCTATCATCCATCTCTATTCTTCTCCTCCATCCCCTCCTTACCTTGGCTACAAGCTTCCATTTGTTCACTTCACCCATAAATATTTCCGCCCTTCAGAGCTCTATACCCACAAGAAATTCTCAAGTTACAGCGAAAGGCATTAGCCCAGTCCTTCAAATCAAGTCCTACCAACACCAGGACTGCCTGTAAGAAATTGTTCACTACCTTCAATTGAGGATCTTTTTATTTTGGAAAAAAAATACAGTTTACTCAATCAGTAAACAACAGGTTTGATATCAGACTCAAATGTGCAATTCTGACTTCCTTCAGGAATTTCATATTCTGCTCCCTTCCTGTTCTCCCTATGTAACAGTCTCATGGCAAGCTGATATGTTCTATATCAATGCCACTCTGGCAAGCTCCACCTCTAACACAGCATTTGATATGTATGAAAAATATTCCAATCTCGTTTTTTGAGATAAGTAACTGGCTAACAGTCCTTTTTCTACAGATGTCTGCAAGACTCCCAGCATTGTCTTTAACAGTGAGACAGGTAAAAATGAATACCCACACAACTGCATCTTGCCAAGCTCTAGAAGAACATCAATAGCAGAGGTAAAAAAACCCAGATTAAAAGCAGAAAAAGAAAGCAAAAAAATAATTTTAATGGCAGGTTCCAAGGTGGTTGTCCTTTGGGACAATGTCTTAATAGAGTGTTCCAGTTCACTTGAACATACTGTGATTATTTCTAAG